CATGCATGCAGGCTTTACTATGTAGATCCCTGAGTAGCGCAGATCTGTTTTCCTCTACTCTGCAGGGTTTGTGTGGTGTTAATCCCACTGAGTGTTTCTCTGTGATCTACCGAGGCCTTGTGTTCGTACCAAAGCTATAAAACTAAGAACTAAAAAACACTGAACGCCTTTTTCCTGGAACTGCAGAATAGAAACCACAGAGCCGCTGAAGTCAAGAGGAAGGAGGTGTGTTTAACTGCTGTGATGAAACAAAAAAACATCTTAATCACACAACACTGTGCAGAAGAATGGGACACGCATCGCTTCTGTGGCTGCTCTGTAAGTACCGCATGTACTGAATGTAAAATGTGCAAATGTTGATCTTGTTGGAGCGCAGTGGATCTGGGACACAGAGATGTTTGCAGCTACAGGGAGGAATGAATTAACAACTGGATTCCACTTTAATTATATCAGTGGTCAATCCGTGCACTTTACTGAGCTGGAACAGCTGCTGCTTCTCTTTAACTAAAGGTTTCACCAGATTCAAGCTTTTACTTCTTTAAACTCTTTAGAGTTCAGATTTTCAGGTTTTTGCTGCAGACAAACCGCAGCAGGGTTTAAACGTCTACTTCACCGTCTCCAGCAAATCATGCTGTTATCTTATTCTTGTCCTTTTTTACCCATCTTACTGATGATTACCAGTCATACATGTGCTCTGTGGTCACAGGTCTTGGTAAGCATAATGTTGTGGGATAAGCTGCATTTTTAAGCAGAGGCTCCCCTCGTTTATCCTTCAAATATATGAAATAATTTAATTGTCATTTGTTCAATGTTCAGTCCAGGTTTCATGTCCAGATTTTAGCTGCTAGTCACCAGTTTAAGTTTAGTGATTTGACTTTTTTGTTTTTCCAAATTTCAACCTAGCTTGTGGCCTATTTCTCTTCTCAGTGCTGAGCTGCGTAACCTATGGAGGTGAGTGGACTCATAATTTGGCATCCAAGATGTCTTAAATGGATTAAACATGAGCTTTTCTTCAAATAAAAAAGATTTGACATCAGTGTTTTTCCTTCTGTGTAATTTGTACGTAAAAAAGTCTGCAGTGGTCAGGAAGGCTATGCAATTAAAAATAGCAGAACATTTGGGGAAATACGATCTTCATGATTGCTAGGAAATGGATATTGAAACTGATACCATTACTCAAATAAAGAAATTGTCCAGTACATAAATCACTACAGTTCAATCAAACAATGTACACTGTTTTAGCTTCAACTTAACTTTTAGACTCAGGTATATGTTGCTTAAACTGGATCCTTTACTCTGCACCACAACAAAGACCGGGATGTTTAAAAATGATTTTTTCTTTTTATCTCAAAATCTATAATCTCTCACAGCTTGTCTGACTGTGAGTCCCAGCAGCTCTCAGTTCTTTGAAGGAGCCTTTGTGTCTCTGAGCTGTGAGGAGGACGACAGCTCTGCTGGATGGACTCTGAGGAGAAACACAAGCA